GGATGTGAGCTGTCCATATTTTGGGGAGGGCTAGATCATTTCAGTTTTCTTCTCTCTCAGTGTGGATGAACTCTACATCTTCTGACTCAAACCCTCTGTTTTACCTTTCTTGGGAAGATAGTTATTTGGGGAGATTGTTTCCTTCACAGTTTGCACAATTGTTTTAATATTAATTGTGTCAAAATCTAATCAACCCCGGCTTAACTACACTACCACTTTAAAAAAAATCAACAACATCTTCTTGATATTGGAATTCTCACTCACTCCTAAAGAAAAGTAAAATGATATAGCTTCTTTGGAAATCATACTGACAGTTCCTTAAAAATTTTCACATAAAACCTGGCCAGAGTGGCCCAGTAGTTGAGCATCGACTTATGGAGCAAGAGGTCATGGTTCGATTCCCAGTCAGGGCACATGCCTGAGTTGCAGCCTCTATCCTGTGCTGGGCGTGCAGAGGCAAATAGCCAACCAATGATTTTACCTTAGTTTTGATGTTTCTATCTCTCTCTCACTCTCCTTTCCTCTCTGAAATGAATAAAAACATACTTTTTAAAAATGTTTATGATAGAGTTACTATATGAACAGTTTCACTCCTGGGTATGTATATTCAATAAAAATGCACACATATATCCACACAAAACTTGTACAAAAAGGTTCAGAGACTTATTAGACTATCTGACTATTCAGAAGAGTCAAAAAAGGGAATGATCCAAAATATCCATCAACTGATACATGAAATGTGATAATCTGTATAACCTATGTTTGTGATTGTTTGACAGCAAGCATTTGACCACACAAGAGAAGGAAATACTGGTCTGTGGATGAGCTCTGAAATATTATGTTGAGTGAAGGAAGCAGGTCACAAATGACTCTATTTGTATAATTCCATTTACACGAAATGTCCAGAACAGACACATCTGTATAGAGATAGAAAGTAGATGAGTGGTTGCCTAGAATTGGGGAGGAAGTGGTGAATGACTGCTAATGGGTTTTGGGGTTTTTTGTTCATTTGTTTGTTCTTTGTGTGGTGATGAAAGTGGTCTCAGATTGATTGTGGCGGTGGTTGCACAAATCTGTAAATATACTAAAAACCATTGAGTTGTATACTTGCAATGGGCAAACTGTTTGATATGTAAAATTACATATCAATGTAGATATGTGACATCTATATGCAAATGTATCACTTACACTAAAAATTGAATAAAAACTCATCCATAAGCTACCCAACCATTTCCCTATTACATGTTCTTCTGGTCCCCTTAGCAATAAACTGAGAACATTTTCTTTTCTCCTCCCTTTTATTTCATTGTAATTATTTTATGAATCTATGATTAAACATTGTTTATTATTTTATAGAACTGCGGAGGAACTTAACATAAAATGACAAATGAATAGCAGCACAAGGAAACTCTGGCCCCTAAATTACATCTGTGAAATCAGCCTTTAAAATTTAAATTATGCATCACAAAATAATTACATATAACAGTAGTATATAGATGAATCTTAACTTGGGAGTATATTTATATAAGAAAAAGACATCTCCAAAAGTAACTAAAATATTATTATCAATGTATTTAGCTCTAAGTAGCTAGGGAAGGTAAAAGTTAATAACTAGTCCTAACCATTTTGGCTCAGTTGATAGAGCATCGGCTTGCAGACTGAATGGTTCCAGGTTCGATTCCGGTCAAGGACATGTACCTAGTAGGGGCTGTTCAGGAGGCAGCTGATTGATGTTTCTCTCTCATTGATGTTTCAGACTCTCTATCCCTCTCCCTTCCTCTCTGTAAAAAAATCAATAAAATATATTTTTTTAAAGTTAATAACAATTCTCACAATAACCATCAAAAAAATTTAATGGAAATTAATGCATTTTTAAAAACTTCTTTGAAACTGGGAAAATAGAATACTTAAACCATGAAATAATATCCTTGTAACAAATATTGAAAACTTGCAAAATAATTTCTATATATTAAAAAGGTAATTTAAACACAGATCCATTTAAAAAATGAAGACAAAATATTTTAAATGTTTATTTTCCTAATCAATGTATAGATAATTTTAGTCTAATCAAGATGTCAATATGATTATTTTTGCTTAAAAATTAATGGGAAAAGTGAAGTAAGATTCAGGAGGAAAAATAAGAAAATATATATCTTTTTAATTTGGAAAAATGAGGGCAAAGATAGAACCAGTATTTCACATATTTCAGCTTTTTGGATAAAAAGCTGCTGTAAGACAGTAGATCATGGGGGAATATGTGATGAATGAGAGAATGGGTGTGTTCCATAAGAGAATTCTAGTCAGATTTTTAAAAACAATATGCGTTTGCCATGCTTTTAACTTTTCTAAGATCTTTTTGAACTGATCGCATATTTTTGGTTGAATATTATTCACCATAAATTCTAAAAGAAATGTTTACAGAAGTTATTTTTTGTTTTAACTTCAGTTTAGTTTATTGCTTTTATTTTGCAGTAATTCTTAATGAGGGGGTGGAGTTCTCAGTCACTGGGGCTGTTTATGCACAGCCTGTTCCCCATGTTCTGTTGGACTCACCTTGATGAAGAACACTTATCCCTGAGAATCACAGCCTTGGCCAACCACAGGTCACAATAGGTTTTCTTCTCTCTGTGTTTTCCTGGAGATTCATGTGGAGTACCACCACTCAAGAGTGAAATGGATTTTTTTTTTTTAAGATTAATGCACTCACTCAGCAAGCTTCATAAATTTGGGGGTTTATTTTGAATGTCAGAAATCTCAATCACCACATTGAAATCCAGCTCTGCATTTCTGACTGTCCTCTAAGTCTCACAGTTTGTCACCTCCCCCGCCCCACCATCACTGTGGCTTTCCCTGCCACACCTCAAATCCTGCAGTTTGCTCCATTTCTCCTTGGAGAGAGAACGAAAATTATGGCAGTTGAAGTTCAAGACCTGGTTTGTCAATAACCCCCTTCCCGTTCTACTGCTCTTTGATGTCTCTGTTCCCTTCATGAACATGCACACTGTGATCTCATAAGTATCCATGCCGAGCACTTTTGAAGTTACATGTTTATCCCAAGACCAGAGACTTATGTGGCATTTAAAGGGATTCTTTACTTCACCTGAATGTATGGGTAACAATTTCAAAAGCTGTACTTGTCAGAATTTAATGACTAAAATCTATGCATATTTCTTCTAGGTTTAGCATAGTGAGACGTTCTCTGAGAAAAATATTATGATATAGATGAAAGCACTTTAGATTAATAGTCAAAATGCCACTGGCCTTGCTCTTTGCTCCCTGCATGTGCTTGAGCAAGATACTTAATCTCCTCTACTTGTTTTTCATATAGAAAAATATCAACTCCGTGCCTACCTTTAAATCCTTATAAAAGGAGATGATGGGTATATATGATGCATGGCAGTTACCATTACTCATGGTCAGAGCCATGTCCCTGGATTAGACAGGAAATCAATATTATTATATCTGATGAGGTTACGTTGAACCTATACGAAGTGAAAGGATCTTATTTTCATTTACATGATCAAAGTTTCAGACCAATTCACTTGTAATGATACGGGAACTTAAAAACAAAAACCAAAAAAAAATGTTTTGCAGCTAAATATGCAGCATAAGTAAACATCAGATGCTTTTGTAATTAAGGTCCTCTGAAGTTTTTAATAAGCTATATTACACGTGGACTGCTAACAGCGCACAATCACTGTCTTATATTCTTCCTAACAGTGCCTTTAGTGTTCCACTGAAACATGGTCAGTGAATGCACAATATTCTTACTTACAATTATGAGGGGCTCTGTATATTACAGCAGCTCCACTGTGTCTGCCGTTAGCTGGAAAAATGCTGGGAGCAACAGCAGCTACTATCAACAGGGAGCCATATTAATTATTTGAAATGTGCCTCATAAGAGGAATCAGCAGAGTTTATTACAAGTCGAATATTACTTGAAACGGGAAGGTTACTCTAACTGTTATCATAGTCTATGTGTCATTAACTTTCCTTGTTTAGGAGAAGAGATTAACAACCCTGTAAATTGCTATGGTTAATGTGTAAAACAGGACTGCGTATTCCCACTGTAGAAAGAACGTGGTGGGTCCCCATTTTTACCCAAACCTTTCTGTGAAGTTCTTTTAGAAGTGGAACTGACTCTGTGATTACGCTCTCCTGCCTTAAAATTCAAATTGCTTACTAGGCCATATCAGTTATACAAACTATAGCTGCTTTGAGCATTAAAAATTCTTTTGTTTTTAAGCTAGCAATGTTTTCAAGCATCATCTCAGCATTCAAATCAACTTTAGTACTTTAACCCACAAGACAGAAAGTATATTGCAAATACTGTATGTGAGCTAACGAAATTCTTTGTAAGGAAGAAAGAATGAATTCTTTATAAAAATCTACCTGATTTTTGTATTGTGGTTATTTATTGTTTTTTTTTCATCAAAAATAATAAATATGTGGTACCTCTGTTAAATAATGTAAGTAAATCATAAAAATAAAAATTAATCAGGGTTGTAAAGTTATCTAAGTAGGTGCAACTCAAAGTGTTATTGGCATTGATGCCAGTCTGCACCCTGTTTCTTACTGATCTCCAATGAGTAAGTGAAGAAATTGAGAATGTTTAGAAGCAACAGGTTGATAGAGTTCTTAATGTCTGTTTAATCAAGCAATTAAAAATTAGGTCTTGCATTTTGTATGTCTTTGTTTTTAGTTTTTCCATTTCGTTTTTTTTTCTTAAATCATTTTATTTGTATTTTTAAGTGTCACTCCACAATAAAATTATAAATTATCAACAGCAACAACAACAAAAAACCTGAAATGTATAAGCAAGACTGCTTTAATCAGTTGATTTTTGTTTGGCACATAATGTTTCTGTGTTTGGATAGATCTGTCTATACTCTATAATGGCTATGAATTCAGTATGGAGAGAGATAATGTGACCTCATAAAACAGAAAAGTAACAAGACATAACTACAACGTCTCTCTAACATTTATTTTTGGATCCACAGGTCAAACACATCATGGCCAAGTGTCTTACATCTCTCCACCAATTCACCTTGACTCTGAGCTAGAAAGACCCCCTGTTAGAGGTAAGTGTTATTTTTTTTTATGAATTTAAAATTTTTATTGTTGAAAATATTACATGTGTTACCCTTTTTCCCCCATTGACTTTTTCTAACCCACTTCCACCCCTCACCCAGGCCTTCACCATCCTATTGTCTATGTCCATCAGTTATGCATACAAGTTCTTTTGTTGATCTCTTCCCACTCATTGGCCATACCTCACCTTCGTTCTGTGATTTTACAGGAGACTATATTTATTCTTTGATGAAGGCAATTAATTAAGTTAGAGGTGATAGTAAATATGTATTTCACAATGGAGTATCTGTTTAAAATTCAAGGGGAGATGGTATAAGAAATCTGATGACAGAATGAGTAAGTCTTATTTATTACCTAAACATGTGAAATATAGTTCTGATAAATGTTTGTAAAGCAAAATAAGAAACAGGGATGCATAGTGATTGAACTAGTGGAAGCCTAGTTGAAAGCCAACCTAGATTTACAGATTAACAGCTAACCATTATTGTTTTATAATAATTGGAATTTTCTTCTTCTATTATCCTATTTTTTTAATAAATTAAAATGCTTAACCTAAGTCATTGATATATTTATTTTTTTACAATTTGATATTTTATATAATTCTTTTTAAAAGTTATTTTAGTATAAATAGTTTATTTTGTAATATATAAATTTAAAAAATGTGTACTTTAAATGGATACCACCTATTTAAAGATTTTTTAAAGAAACTAGTCATACAAAAGTTAAAATAACATTTATAATTATATAATCCAAATACAGAATGTGGTTTTCTCTTTTTTAGAATATTTGTTACTGATTTCCAAACATTTTATAAGTATCCTAAGGTTAATTTTTCAGTTCAAAGTATTGCGGTACATTTTCTTATATCTTCAAAAGTATTAATTACTTTTGATATAATAAAAGTCTTTAGGTCTGTCTTTCAGGAGCATGTTTTCTCTAATGCTATTTCTCCTGTCAGGAGTCTCTTATCTTTTCTATTCACTAAGTTTCTTCCAGTGTTTCAAGGCTCCTCTCTATGTTCAGTTCCTCTGCAAGCTTCCCTGGGCTCTGCACCAGGGAGGAGCTCAGTGGATGCCTCTGTTCCCCAAGTGCTCCCTGGAGCCCTCCACCCCACCCACCCTGTGCTTGCCTACACCTTTCACACCTAGGACAATGTCTTTTAGTTTTCAGTACCCATGTTTCCCTTCCTCTTCTGTAAGATCCTTGTGGGAAGAAAGTGTCAGAATTACTGTTCTCTTCCAGCCACTGGTCAGTGCGTGGCACACACTGGGCAGTCACAGGACAATTTATAAGTGGCTGAAATGTAAAGCGACAGCCTAGATGCTGAAAGATGCATCCTGGATGTTCAAGTAGAAAAGGGAATAGGGACCATAGGGGAATCCCACCAAGAGGGAAACAGGTTGAATGGAAACATGGGTATGTCCGAGCGGTGATATTTTTAAGGAAAGATGCTGGGCACACAGTAAAATGGAAACGGTTTGAGAGGAAGAGACTGGAAAGATGCAACAGGACAGATCGTGAAGACTCTGTATCACACATGTAGAGGAGTTGGTATTTTATTCTGGAAAATAATGTGGAATATTTTTTTCATTTATTTATTAATTATTTTATTGCCTAAAGTTTTACATATGTCTCCTTTTTCCTCAATTGACCCCCCTCTCCCCACCCCAGTCATTCTCACACTGGGCAAGCCCCCACCGCCCTAACGTCTGTGTCCACGGGTTTTGCTGATATGCATGTATAATATACAAGTCCTTTTGATGGAATACTTTTAATTTTTTAAAAATCACTACTCCCTAATCAGTGGGACACTACATTGTACCATGATTGGTTCTTGATATGAGAAAAATACCTGTGGCTTCCGTGTAGGTGATGAGATTGGCAGAGGGCGGCTGTGCAGGAGTACCAGTAAAAGATGACTGGAGAATTAGTTAGGCATGTGTCATTGGCAGTGGCTGGGCCTGAGAAATATTTTGAAGAGACGTGTCAGTTAGCTGAACAGAACAGGGGGAGGAATGGAAATGCCTCTAAGGTTTCTATGTTGATTAACAGCTTGGATGCATATGACATAATCCCTCACCATGAGGAATGGATGCATTTTACATTGATGTGATGTTTTAGATATGCTAATTCTTAGCAAAATGGTGTTGCTCTGAAAGATGTAAACCTACTTATGCAAGTTGGTGACCTCAATATAATTCACTTTTTCAGACATGCTCTCAGTGTGATTTGGGAAGAGCTCTGTAAGCTCTCGCATAGGATGTGCAGTAATCCACTCTAAAAGTTAGTGGCTTTAACCAAGAAACATTTGTTGCAGTTCTCAGAGGCTGTTGAGTCACGTGAGCGCTGTCTTGGATGCTTAGCAGTTGGCAGATGGTTGGTTCTGTGGGGGAGGGAGCTCACACGTGTGGTAGTCAACTTGATGTCATTTGGGGTGATGGCCATATGGCTCTCATTACCCAGCAGCCTAGCACAGGTGCATTCCCATGGTGATAGGATTTCCAGCCGTATATAAACAAGCCCCAGAGTTCAGATGTTTTTCAGGACTCTGCCTGCGTCATATTTGCTACATCCCATTGGCCAAAGCAAGTTAGCGGACCCCAGGCGTGAAGGAGCAGAAATAGATCCCATCCAAAGGACCACGAATACAGATAAAAAGAGGACCGTGGGGCAGATAAAGAGTGAAATAAATTTGGAAGGAAATAAGACAAAAACTAGCTGGTAAAATGAAAAGGTTTAGAGCTAATAAACTTAAAGTTCGGAGTTCGAGAACTTCCTTGTTTTAGTTTCTTCAGCTACTAGCTAGATCAGAAATGAGAACTTCACAGTATCTTTGTGAAGATTAGGGGTGACACAGAATAAAGTCTGGTATCCGGTAGGCCCTAGATAAAATGTGGCTATTACTATGTACTTCGGGGTTCATTGCTGTGGCAAATGGGAAGAAATTGGGCTTCGGAGCCAAGGCAGACTTGCATGACCTTAGAATGATTGTCATGATCAGTTCTCATATCATTTATCTACTTACGTTGACCTAAAGGCCTTCCTAAACTGCTTGGTGATTAATGCAATTGCAGCTATATTCTGCATGTGCCATAGTTCTACAGTTTTAAAAAAAATTCTTAATTAGATAAAAAGGTTTATATAAAGCACCAAAATAACATTGCAGACATTCATGTGCTTTTTTTTTTTTTCTTAAACCTAATATTTTATTTCTAAAAATACTGTGGAAATGGGATAGAGTTGGCATAATAGCATTACTTTGGAACAATAAAATATTTCTTTTCAACTTTCAACCATCACTCCTCACCTTTATTTACTATTTTTAATTATACTGTAAACTGATGTTATTATTTATATGCAGTCAAATTATACAAATGAACTATATTATATCTATTGGTAGATAGATATAGATATTTGAAGATACAAATATAGAGTTAGTTAAGTATAAATATAGGAACAGAAAGAGGGCCTCTTATCAAATTAATGCATTTATTTATCAAATGTATTTTTTCTTTGGTATTGTGCATCTTAAATTGTGGCCAACATGCCTTTAATAACCGTGTGGGAAATGTAGAAGCAAGTTACCAAATAGCCTTGGATAAAAAGTTGTGATCTGCATTTCGAAGTGCCAAAATTCAGTGTCACTTAGTGTTGAGTAAATTTGAGAGGTTCTATTCTTTAAGTCTAATGTGACCATACATGGCATTTGGTCACATAATTTATGCCTGTGGTGACTTTATGTGCATTCTTCAATTTACAGATTCTATTACTGAATAGAGGTGTAAATTCTGATAGTTTACTAGTGCATTAATGTCACAATACATTACAAGGTAATTAACCAGAGCTGCCACTATAAATAGAAAAATAGTCACAGCCCTCACTATAAACTACTTCATAAAAGTAAGATCCTGAATCAGCATTCACCATTATAGTGATTTTTCTTGCCATACGTCTCATTAATCAGGAAAACAGCTTCATCTAGAAGCGCTATTATTTTTAAAGCTTTCATTATGAAAATAAAGTCATTATAATTTTGTAGTTAACATAATGAGATTGATTGCATATTTCCATACGCAGATAACTCCTATACACTTTGAAGACATATTTCCCAATTTTATATATTTTAATTGGAAGTGAAAGACTACTTTGGTACTTTTGTAGCAGATTTGTGATAAGCACACAAGTGAGTTCTTGGAAGGGTGCATTAAGAGTTGCAGTTCTGAAGGTCATGTTTTCTCACCAACTATCCTTTCTCTCCCCTCCCCCCCGCCCCCATCCAAGCCTTTATTTTACCTCCTATCTACCCACATGAAAACAGTTCAACCCCAGAACTGTGTCTGTATTACAGTCAGGAACACTCAATGAAGATACTTGGGTGAGATTTTGTGCTGGAAGCTGAATCACAATCCTAAACAAAGGCTTATATTATTTGACAATTGAATATAAAAGTTGGAGAATGCCCTTCAGATGTAACTGCTATTTTATTTTTGGCTTTGTCTTGTTTCATTGTTTTCCTATACAATTTGGTGATAACCTTAGCAGTCAATTATAGAATCCAACCTAGTAATTCTTCACAACCTCACTAGCAATTGAAGTTAGATAAATTCTGTTAATTAACAACAGAAAATTAACTTCTAAAAACAATTTCCATTTATATTACTAAAGATGATATTTTTATGTTCTGCTACATAAAAAAAAATGGAAAGTAACCAGATATACTTCACCTTCCAATATGGTAAACCACTAGTAATAAAGCTGATGAATACAGCATTGTATTTAATTTGTATATTTTGTATAATATTTCTTAAGTATGTCTTATATTTAATCATAAGTCTAATATTAACTATAATGTGTGCATTTACTAATTATTGATAGTTGCAATTTATAGTCAGAGAAAAATCTAAAATATTTGGGGACATTTGAAAAACTGCATTTTTTTTTCTTTTTCTTTTTTCCTGTAATAACCTGAGTAATATAAACATGGTTTCAT